TCATATGTATAATGTGTTATTTTTGCTCAGAAGACTGTCTTAATAGTGAATATTTATAAATTTGTAGTAGAAGTTTTCTTAAATGGTTTGCCTCATGATGGGTTTTGGGTTAGGGAGTATCAATATGCTGTGTAGGCATGGGGAAAGAAAACCTCATCCCCTTTCCCTAGGGACAACCACTATTGAATATAAGCTCTGCTGACTTCATACCCTCACCCCTTAAAATGTTTTGTTTATTTTTAAATTACTTAGTAGGTGACAACTTGTTGTTTTAACAATTGCTATGGAAACTACGTGCTTTCAGTTTTTCCTTTTTATTGTCAGGAATGTGAAAACAGTAATGAGTTCCTCTGAATACAGCAAGGGTTGTGGTTTGGTTTTTTTTTTAATAATCTGTCCTGGATTGTTTTTCTCCAAGGCATGACAAACTTCAGCTATAAATAAGCTACTTGAAGTCTCACAGCCCACTCTGGGTTGTTCTTGCTAGTGGGATCACAAGCTGTAAGCACCAGGGCAGCATGATGAGAAGGTCTAGGTACCACCTGTGATGTCAGGAAAAAGGCAGCATTGGCGTTCCTGCGCTTGGGACTTTGAGTTGGAGCTGGGGTAAGGAAGAGGATGCCCACACTTGCCAAGGAGCCATGCATCAAGGACTTCATCTGAGTGGTCTAGGAGAAGGAGCTATTGTCCCACACAGAGCTGTGGCAAGACATTGCTGTGCACGTGGAGCCTTCCTCACAACACTCACTGGGGTCCTTCCAGTCCCTGCCGCTGCAACAAATCCGCAGGGTACACAACAGCAGCAACAGGTTTAAAGTTACTGTCATTCGGCTCAACTGTTAGCAGCTTGGGGGCACCCAGCCTCTCTACAGTTTTTGTAAGCCATTATCATCAGCTTACAAAGAAAGCGCTGCCTCTGGAGTTGGCCGGTTTGTGATCTTTCTGCCGTCATCCCTACTGACTGTATTTGTGGAACGAATGCAGCGGGACTTAATCATCTCAAGTCCCTAGTGGAGGTTTGGCAGCAGGGCCAGCAGCAGAAGGACGAATGCCTCTGTGAACATTTCCTTTTGAATCCTGATGTGTCAGGATTTTGTGTGTGCTTTGGTGTCAGCAGGTTTTAGTGGCAATGAGTTCCATGAATAATATTTGCTATGCGGAGAGAATTTCCTCCTCATAATTTTGAATTTATCTTCAGTTGAATAGCCCCTTGTTGTTAGGAGTCAGACAGAAAGGGCATCGCTGAGCTGTAATTGATGCATTGTTGGTTGTTTTATTACAGCTCCTCTTATATGTCTTTTTCCCCAAGTAATCCATCCCAGTGGCTTCTGACTTTCTCCATAGGAGAATGTTTCTATCCCCTTGATCACTCTTGCTGCCTGACTGTGAATCTTCTTTCATAATCATGTGTTATCCATCAACACGTTCTGCCTGAGGATGTCTGCTCAGCTCGTAGACATCTGATAAATTACATGCTAAATCTAGGTACTTCCAGAAGGACGTTCCTATCTGTCTGTCTGTCTGTCTCAGAGTCTCTCGGTAGGTTATTAAAGGAAAGTCTTTTCTACTTGAATCCTCCTAGCTGATAGAAGAAGTGTCTGTTTCAGCTTTTCTTTTTTAAATTAGGCAAGGCAGATCACTCTCTGACTGCCTTGTTGCGCTCAGTTCCTGCCAGCCATAGATATTATCACCAGTAACTTTTAAAATACATTTTCATCTCCAGTATTGATGCAAATACTGAATAGTAACGGGTCTTGAACTGATCCCTGCAGAAAGCCAGTGGAAGCATCTCATTTGCTCATAATCCCCAATTAAGTCAGCAATCTGTCAGCATATTCTGAATTCAATTACCCTGTGCTTTATTGTTTTTATATTGCTAACTTTTAAAAAAACAAAACTGCATGTGGTAATAACCCTTGTATGGCATCTTGCATTACTTCTTAAAATTTTTGTATAATAAATGAGAACTCTCTTTGGCAATTTTATTTATAGTTTTTTTTGGCTCTGAAATTAATTTGTGCTGTCTCAGATTTGTTTTGCTTATGTCAGGTTTTGTTTATACATTTGTTAAACTGTGAACAGCTGCCAAGGCACCGGGGAAGTTTTTCTGCAGAATCAGTAAGAATATTTTACAGCTGGGCCAGATTTCTTTTTTTTTTTTCGTCTCTACATGAATGTTTTAAGTGTTGCCTTATTCTTTGGCCATTATTTCTGATTGACTGTCAGGGGAACTTTCTATTTCTTTCCTTACACTGTTTGTGTGGTGTTTGTTTTTCTCCTAGATCTGAGAATGGTACTTCTCCAAACCAAAGCTGATGTAGCTTACCTGTGAAATATAAATATCAGCCTGTTGGAGCCCAGCATGCCTACCCACACGCTCTTGAAGGCTTAGCTGCTTATGTGGAAGATGCGCTCAGGCTCAGGCTCAGGCTCAGGCTCAGGCTTGCTGGCAGTGTGAGGCACAGGCATGGCTGCGACGTAGCTCGGGCAGGGATCAAGGGTGAGGGCCTGAGCGTAACTCACCTCCTGAGCAAGGGGAGGCTCCTTTTGGCTCTTCTCACAACTCTGCTGGTTTCCCAGTGGTCTGATCCAAGGTTACACAGCTGCACCATGGCAAACCATGGCCTTGAGCATCTGAAGCTGAGCCCCTAGGAGGGCGTGGGTGTGCTCAGGGCTGGACATAACCCTTTTGTAGACTCTAGACATTTCCATTTGGCTAAACCTTTGTAGACTCTAGACATTTCCATTTGGCTAAAAATAACAGCCTACATCACTGCTGGCAGACTAACCGATTTCAGATTGCCCCATGGTTAGGTTTGTTGCTGTCCAAGATGATTACAAATGGTGCTAGTTCAGTTATGTAAAAAATTAATGAGAAGTTTATGGGAATACAGAATTTTTCAGTCTGAGGCAATTTGTTCAAGTGTTAGTGATGTGGGCTTGAACTCCTAACCAGATGGTTGCAGATCTGCAGGTATAGTGCACGTTATAGAGAGATGACATGAACTGGAATAAATAGGCTTATGAACAAGTATTAATGAATGCTTGGATGAATATATGAAAGTTGCGATGAAGAAGTTTGCGAGGAGGATGCTTAAAGGCAGCCTGGTGGAAGGTTTTTCTTTGGGAACTGTGCATTTTATGACAGAAAAAAGGACATAACACTTTTTCAGCGAGCAAATAGCATTCTTTTGCATTTCTTTCTGGTAATATAGGATAGACTATTAGCAAAAAGAGTTTTTGGCATTGGTGATACTTGTCCCTGATACTTTGGCTGCGGACTGTTTCTTTTGTTTATTTTCTCTCCATTTGCTTCTCACTGCCTCTCCATCCTTTACAAAACAAGGTTTTTTCAACTGTGCGATCTGTTTTGTGCTGGTTTTTTTCCTTTTACGGTGATCCTCTGCTGCAGCACTCCTCTCATCAGCAGAATCTCACCATAAGGCTACAAAGCTAATGGTACGTATCCAACCTCAGGTGTCCTGTGTTCTTCCAGTCTGCCAAATGGTTCACCAGTGCTCTTTGCCAGTGTTCAGGCACAGCTGGATGCAGAGCAGGCGTGGGGAAGACTTCAGGGGGGAGGGCAGGTGAGAGCGAGGGAAAGGGATGAATTCCTGTGAGCCTGCATCGCAGCCAGCGTGCTGCTTTTTGTGTTGGGACAGGGCAACTGAACTGATTAGCGTGTGTTTTCATAAAGACATTTACTGTGTTACTAGTGCCTTGTTATCAGAATAAAACCAGTGGATTTAGTAAATTCAAGGTATTCAAATGCCTGTGTTCCTTTTGCATCATGGTAAAATGAAAAGTGTTAATTAGAGTTTCATATGCTGTGTTTTTTTCACTGGACCTATTAATCTATCTATTCCAAATTTGCATTTACACGAGGATGGGGAAGGTATGAATTTGTCTTGTGACTGGTGAACTGCTGTAAAGATGGTGACATTTCAGTAGTGAAACTTTTTCTGTGTTTGTGGCTTCCTGCGTAAAGCATTGACAAAGCTGTGTTTGCAGTATGAAAAGTGTCTGTCTCTCCTAACTTGCACGCTCTGTCAAAGTTAATCTTCCAAGTGTGGCCTTTTTAGTGAAAAGGTTATGGCAATACCTGTAGAACTACAGCTCATTATACATTAACATCACCCTTTCATAATTTCAGAATATGTATAGAGCAGCTCATGCACTGTGGTAATTACATACAGTAAGATCATCATTATATGATCCTGTGCCAACTGCTTTTCGTATTTACAGCACCACAGAAAAAGTATTTTTGATTACTTTTTTTTATTATTGCTTACCATTGGGCAGTTTGTCACATCTCCTTACTTCTGTTTATAAATCTCCTGACTATCTCCCCTAGCTGAAGACAATGTTTACTTTTAAAGAAAAAACCAACCACAAACCAGACCACAGTCTGGTAGGACACTAAAACAGAAAAGGGATCTTTGGCTTCTCTCCAGCCTTCATGTGAGGTAGCGGCAGAAGGGTGCCAAGAGGCCAGTTGTAAGCAGCGAAATGGGAAGTTTTCCAGAACTGGGAGGAAATTACTAGGTAAAAAAAAAACTGGCATCGTGTCCCATAGGCCTGTGCATGGAGGATATAGCTGCGGTGCCGCTGTGTCCAGAGGCTCCTAGTTCAGTGGGACTGGGTGTTTTACAGGCTGCTTTGCAGTCAGGGTAGATGTAGACATGACTCCCTTTACTGCCAGTGTAATAGCAGCTCGTCGTGGCTGTCTTCTCATTCATGTGTCCGTTTGTCCTATTTATCTAAGTAGCAGCTAATATGCGCTGTGTTCATGCGAGAGATTATGCCCAAAGCTTGTGAATTTATTTCTGCAAGTGAATACACTCACAGTATTATTATTTTTAACAGTGCCTCCTGTAAAGTCTTACTTGAAATTACTTCTGTTGCGGTGCTATAGCTACTGTTCCGTGTTCAAACCTTGAACTGTCAAGGAATTATGAAGTATTTTTATCCTGTGACATTTTAAATTATTCTCTCCATAGGGGAAGCCTGTGGGAACGCCAGATGCTGGTGCCTATTTCCGTGTGCTAGCAGAGCATGAAGTAGCTGCCTTCTTTACTTCACCAACTGCAATTAGAGCAATCCGTCAGCAGGACCCTGAGGCAGCCTTGGGAAAGCAGTACTCTCTGAAAAGGTGAACTAAGGATACACTGGAAGCAGTTTCTTACAGAAGCAGGCTGGATGAACTAAGAATAGCAGTGTCTGGGGCTTTGCCCACCTCAGTATAGCAGAATTCAAATTTATTCTTGACAATTTAGGTGTACATGTATTTGCTTGTAAATTTATATTGATAGTTTGGAGGAGATGAAAGCTGTTAAAAAGATTACGACTCTAAGGTTAAGAGCTCTTACTGAGTTAGTCTTACTCACTCAACCTTAATTTTACTCCACTGTGCTTATACCCTGTAATACAGTCTTGGATTACATGATCCTGTACTGTTTTCCCACGTGACCTCTCATTTCATTGACTGCACAGGATCCTTAGTGTTCATTTAATCAGCAGCTAGTCAATGTTTTGTTTATCTCCCCATAACTTAGTTAGTGCTTATGGTTATGTGCCCCAAAGACCAAGTTATTTGCTATGTCTTACTGTTTTTAAGGTGTTTATCACTATACCAGCAGCATGCTTCAAAATCGTGACTTAGTTCATCCTCACAAATCCCCTGTGAGATGAGAGAGTGGTATTATCTGTATTTTGCAGATGGGAAGCTGAGACAGAGAGAGATTAAGGTCAAAGTCTTCTGTTAGTTTTGAATATCCAGTCTGAGCCACTGAACTACTGCTTTTTCGGAGTTCTTAATGTTATATGGTTAAAATGTGTTATTAGCATTATATTAATAAAATGCCTCTCACACTGACATGCAGCTGTGAGTGTTTAGTACTTCTACAGACCAAGTTTCTGTATCTTATGGCAAACAGTCTAGAAGTGAAAAATATGTGGGTTTGGACCACATTGAATCTTGAAGTTGCATGATTTGCTCAGCATCAAATAAGGACTGTGTCAGACTGTATAGGCAGTATTCAGTCATAAGACATCTTTTATCACACTTGTTCGAAGAGAAGGGAAAGATGCAAAGCCAAGTAGCTTCATTAGACCTCCACATTCTTATTTGCTCAGGAAAATGTTATTTATTAGTAAGCTGGGTTTATTCCTGAGGTATTCATTATGAGTTTGTCATTACTTTCTTCCATCTGTTTTGAGTACTATCATCAATCCTTACGCCTCCTTGAAATAGGAAACAAGCTCATTTGAGACCCTAAAGGACTATCCTTCTATGATGTTTATTGACAAGAAAGTGATTCAGATGCTAGAAAATTTAATTGCTGTACCTCAGCATTTTTTAGGCAATGACTAAAATGACTTTGTCTGTCTGTAGAGTATTCATTTAATGGAAAATCTACTAACCTGCTGTGTAAATTGTCACATTTTCTGGCCAAATGAGAATTCCAGATAAGAGTCTCCTTGTTGATATCAGTTGCCCCAGAGATATTTCATCATTCCTATGCAGTGCAAAAACAAACTCCATTTGTGTGCAAATTTAGTTGTCTTGTAATTCACTCAGCTTTGGGCCATGTCATTCCCTGGGACCTGACTTCTCTTTACTAAACCCTCTAGCACAGCATTTAATACCTAGTATTCTCTTGGACTGTCTTAAGTCAGAACGATACGAAATCCAGTCTTTTTTTACCCCAGGTGAAAAAGACTTTGGATTTTGTATTGTACTGACTTAGGTCCAGTGACTATTCTTCAGCCACCAGTATAGTGCAGTAAGTTTGACAGTCTTCAGCATGCCTCTCTTTTCATGTTAGACTGGGATTATCGTTAGGTCTAGTCATGACCCTCTAACTACTTGGCTATATGTGATGCTGTGGCATATGTTACTGAATTTGGAAGGGTGCCTAAATTAGACTGTCTGTCCTATGACGACTTCAATGTTAACATCCAGCTAGTTATAGTGTATGTCCATTTTATGGGTTAACGTGCAGTTGTTAAGAAATAGAGTCCAACACGTGAATAAAATTTCCATTCTAGGAAAGTCCTTGCTTTTGGGTGTTACTTGGATGGACTTTTCCATCCAAGGTCCAGTGAATTCTGTCTGTTTCGGTTTGAAATCAGTCTTACTTTTAGAATCATAGAATCGTTTAGGTTGGAAAAGACCTTTAAGATCATCAAGTCCAACTGTTAACCTAACACTGCCATCTCACCATGTCCCTAGGCCCTAAGTTCACTTACTTGATCTATGATGCTTTTTTCTCTGTTATATGGTGCAGAATCTTTGAAATGAGATGTCTTTATGGTGCCTTGTCTAAAATGTATTCTTACATACTGTAGAGACTCCAAAACACATGTCCAGGAATGCAGTCCTGAAAGAGGTTTCCACATGGTACATTTAATTGCTGAAAACTTCTATTAAAAAACTGATAAAGGTCAATGTCACTTTTTAAAAAATCTGTTTAAAAAGACAATCACTTATAAGGTACAGAGTTGCTAGGCAATGCCATCTTCCAGTATACAATGGAGTACTTGATTTACAGGACTAAACTGAATGATAAGCAGACTTCCATTCTTTTGAAATGACATAAATTAAATACATTTCTGTTAAGAACTGATGTTGGTGGCATCACTGGCCTCTGCAGAAAATTACATGTGAGGTTTCCAAAGGTTCTGGTGTGCATGCCTCAAATTCCTTGTTGGCTATTGGAGTCAAATCTTGAAATTTGTTTGCCTTTGACACAAAACATCACCTATGTATTTTAAGACAGACCGTGCTTAACAGTAAAAGAGATGTTTAATTTGTAGGGTAAAAGCCCTGTTCAAACACATACTGCCAGAAGATCTAAAGACCTGGATTTGATAACACACAGGGCTGCTAAGCAGGCTGTCCTATCGTTTTGCTGCCTGTTGTGTTTGAAAAACAAGTAATATCGAAATTCTACAACCTTCATGTACCTGAGCATGTACCTTATGTTTGATTTCCAAATGATGACAACTGACAGTTTTGCATGGAATGGGGCAGCAACTCAGCAGATTGGATTAACATACAAGTAATAATTTGCAGTTTGTGTCCCATAGCCTGCTTGGCTTTCTTGACTTTAGGTCAATTGCAGATGTTCTGCCACTTTATATCAAGAGAATCTAGAGATTCTAGCTTGTTCATCTGATACTAGATATTAATGTACTTGCTTTAGAAAGAAATATGCGACTGTATAAAAACTGTGCAGAAATAATGAATATAAAGGAGATTAGGAACTCCCATTTTCTGTCTCATAACACAGGGCCAAGAGGATGTGAGATTAAAGCAGCACATTCAAAACTGTTAGAACATAACACTTTCTCATGTAATTGCTGTCTCTCACATGCTGCTAGAGGATATGTGGTTAAGACCCAGAATTTAGGACAACTGAAGTACGTTATGCGGTTCTGCCTGCTACCCCCTACTTGGTGCTGCCGTAGATCATGTTTGGCCATTCCTGTTAGAATCCTGAGCTGAGTTCATGAAGAGCCTTTTTGGAGCTCCCCTTGACCCACACTGTGAGAAGGAGCTGAGCCGCAGTTGTGTTCTCTGTGTCTCTTGACTCTGTCCCCCAAACCTCCAGTGCTTGGATTCTCATGAGCAAGGTAAAATCTATTCAGGGAGGAAAACAAACAAACACATCAATGGAGAAAAATAAGAAGACCTGAAGAGATTATTTATTTATTTGCAGTCTCCAGGTGCATTAAGAATTAGTAAGAGTTCTTCATTTCCAGTTTATGTTAAGAAGTGCAAATGAACTTTCCTCACTGTCTTTTCAGCAGAAAAAGCTTATTTAACATGATACAGATAGAGTTTTTCTTTGCCAGAAAAAAAAGCGTATACATTCCAGAATTAAAAAACACTTCCATGTTCTTTTCACTTGAAAAAGTGCAGCTCAGATTATTACCCATGTGAATGCTCCTGCTTTTGGGAAATGGTTTGGAGATGTGGTTTCTTTTGTGCTTGGGGTGACGCCAAAATGCACATGCTGTATTGAGCAATTTAGATTGCATCAGGGCCATTAGGGACCTTGATCAGTACCCTGTATTAGGTGATACTTAAGTCCACTCTGCTGGACTCTTGAATAGGGCTTAAAAGCTTGATTGCACTGAATTTTATGTTAGGAATGTAGGTTTTCAGAACAACAGCTTAGGACGTTTTTAATAGAGAGGTTTTAAGATTTTTCGTCCCCATTAACTGCACTGCAGTGATAGAGGATTGCAGTAACAGGTGCATTGACATGCTTTGAAGTTTTAAGTGGACTGTTAAAAAAATTGTTCAGTGGAACATTTTATAACCATTCCCATCTCTTGCTATACTGTTTGACAGGAGAAAATAATTCCATAGTTCTTATGCTTTGTTAGGCTTGTGGCACTTTGCCCTCATATGCTTTGTCATGGTTTTGTGCTGTAAATTTGCCAAAGAACTATCCCTCTCCTTCTCGCAACATAAGGTTGCTCTTGAGCCTGCGGGTTATTAAATCTGATTATTAAAGCCGGCAATTCAGAAGCGAGAAATTCCGGTTTTGGCTTGGGATAACATGATGTCTGAACTTTTTCATCAAGTCATGTAAGGTCTCGGTGTTTTAATAGCTCTATTTTTAAAACAAGGACACTTAACAGAATTTTTCAGCAGTTTATAAAGTTAATGAATTAATAAATTGAATTTTTACATCGTAGCTGGAATGTTCTGTTTAACATGCCTAATTACAGATCATTCCATATAATGTAAATTGAGCAGTGCTTAACAGGAGTGCCCTGCATATAAACATGAATCTTTAAAAACGTTACATAAAATACATATTTGTGGGTTTTACTTACACAGTATTTTGTTCTCTTCTATCGTAAACTTTTATCTGTGTTATAACTACCACTTAGCTATTAACTGTAATTATCAGCACTGGCTTGTGCTTTACAATAAAAAGCATTCAGGTGCAAGGTACCGATTTGGGTCACACTCATTATAATCATTATCTTCTAATGTGGGAGATGTGCTCAGAAAGCAGTTTACCAAAATGATGATGTATATTTATGAGTACAGAAAATTATGCTTATTTGATGTGAAAGCTGCTTATACATTTGACCCCCTGCCTTTTATTCCAAGGAGGAACTCACTCCAACCCATCTTGGGGCATCAGGAAGGAGGGTTGCTTGAAACACTCTTCTGAACTTAAGGAAGTTGAATTCTTTTACTTACATGTTGAAGTTCAACATGATAGCATTTTTCAAGATCTTCTTATGTTTGTGAGTTTGTAACTAGATGTGCTGTTTTCATATATCAAAGTTATTGTTATAGCTACCTCTATGATTGTTACTTCTGCTTAGTTCATGGATAGACCGTTCTCAGTTTGTTGTTTTTAACCTTGGTGGTTAGAGTTCCCAATAACTTCTGCTTGTGGAAGTTTCTTTTCCTTTAGTCTAACTATGGATCTGTAGATGGATCTAAAAGACAATAAACTCATCACATTTTTGATGTCTAGGCCAAACACCACTGTGAAAAAAAACGCTTTTCAATTTTAGGGCACATGGCTTATTGCCTTTAATGATGTTTTATCCCACGTTTTACTTGTGTTGTTTCCAGATGTAGCTTTACTCTGTATATTCTCCTGCCTTGCATCTGCACAGCAAGTGGGTCACTAGTCCTTACACTGTGAGAGGCTGCCTTGGATGCTAGCAGGACATCCCTAACCTCTGGGGAGGAATGGGGTGTGAATATTTAAAGTATGCTTTTCGGCTTAGGCAGCCTTGCAATGGGAAGTCTGTGATCTCTAGATCAGAAGCCTTTGCTATTGAGAGGCCAATATGTAGGTTCCTAGAGATGGAAAAATGTCACTGACGTTGATCTGGCTGTGGTAGAACATGCTGCAATCCTAACAAGGGGACATTTTTGAGAAGTATTTTTAATCCCAAGGTGTGTTGTTGGGCCACGTGAAGCTCCGTTCATACCTTAATGAGGCATCAATGACTTAGACAGCAAGAGAGAGTGCACCCTCAGCAAGTTTGCAGATGACACCAAGCTGAGTGGTGTGGTTGACACACCAGAAGGACGGGATGTCATCCAGAGAGACCTGGACAGGCTGGATAGGTGGGC